TTTTTTTTTGTTTGTTTGGGGTTTTTCCTCTTTTTCTTTTTTTTTTTTTAATACTGCATTACCTTCAAGTATGGCAGAACGCAGAGCCCACGTCCCCAGCTCGCTGCAGTAGACGGTAGGCGCTATCGACCTAACGCTGCCTTCCACCCCCTGCTTCCCGCCTGCTTTAAAGTGTAGTCACTCACTCGCTCGCACATCTCTCGTAGCCGTTACACCATGGAGCTGGAAAAGCTAAAATAAGAGCATTTTTTTAAAAGCCCTTCCGTCTGAAAATTCACCGTAGCGATGTTAGCTTTCTGATCCGACCGGATGACAGAGAAATGAAATATTTAAACCAACGAGGTGAATTTTTATTATTTTTTTTTTTTCAACTTCTTGTTTGAGAACGGGAAGATATTGTTTACAGGTAGCCAGGTCTCTGTGCAGACGTGTCCCGTTCCGCGAGCGTAGGGAGGACAAAGGGAGCACTAACTGGAGCGGGAGAGGAGCCCGGACCGGCTGCTGGAAGGGCGGATTGCCCGGTGCAGGGTCTCCCTTGCTGTTAGGGATTGTGCACCGCGGCTCCCCAGCAGGCTGACCCCGGGCAGAGGACCGTGCTGGTCCACCAACCCGCCTTCTGCTGGGGAGGAGGAGAGGTGTGAGCTCTTCCCTGGCCCGGGGCGGTCTGGCACACTACCCCGCTCTTCGCTTCAGGCCACCGTCCGTACCGACCCTCAGCAAGATCAGAACCCTTTTTTTTTTTTTTTTTTCATAATTTGGTCTATAACCTTTTAAAAAACCTTATTCTAGCTTTTTCTAAAAGATCCCCCCTCCCCTCCTGTGATGACGCTGAATGTTAATGTGTTCTCTCCAGCCTGGAACCATTTACCAGCTTCTGGTATTTTATTTATATTTTGAGCTTGATAAACAAAAAACCCACTGTGGACAGGTTCTGATCTCCCTGAAGTGATGTATATCCCATATCAATCCAAGTTCTTGATTTACTTCGGGTTTACAGACTTCTCGCAGAGACCACAATCTAGTCCAGTGCAGATTTTTTCCTGCTTGAAACAAATATATTCGAAACTGCTGAAGAGAAAAATAACACCACACAGAGGGAGAGGGGGGTCTATTTTTTTCTACTTTACAGAATAGGTTTTAGAGTACTGAATACAAATTATGTAGTAATATTATTGTAGAACTGCAAGAAATTTAAGATGACCTTTATAATGTACAAAATATTTTTGTATTTTTTTTCTTAACGCAAAAACAAACCCTAATTTTTTACATTGGACTAAACATAACTTTTTAAACAAGTTTATGCCTCGAAGATCGAAAATTAAAAAAAAAAAATAAACAAACCTGATTAGTCTATAGAGCAGCTTTGGGTTTATTCCCTTTCTTTAGGTACTTTTGCTTATAGTAGTGTAGATTTTTTAATTCCAGTTTTAGTTTAGACGAGCTAAACGTATTTCTTTATTCCTCTCCTGTGTAAATGTAACTTCAGAAGCACTGACTGAAAGCTACGTGCACAAACCTGAAAAGTTTGAAAAGTCCTTTGAAAGTCTGACGGAATCATTTTAACCCTTAGAGAAGCAGCATTACCTGAAGCGACTGCCAACTGCACACTTAGTCATGTCCTTACTGCGCTCCGAGGGTTAATTACATAGCACTAGATCCATACGCAATCTGCTCGGGTTTAAATTAGTTTAGCAGGCTCAGACAACAGCATGCTCCCGTGCTGAACAGAGGAACTCGGCAGATTCTTCCCAGATCTGACATAGTCTCTTTTTATCACTTGATTTTAAAAAAAAAAAAAAAAAAAAATTACCAAAAAATTGCTTTTTTAAAAAAAAAAAAAATCTGTCTCAGCTCACCATTTGGCGCTCTGAGAGCCTCTGATTTACGGTGCTGTAGAGGTGTCACCTACCGTAAACGCCGCAGATGACACACGGGCCGCAGTGGCCTCGCGTAGCTCAGCGCTGGGAGTAAAACTGGCGTAACTGAATCCCCGATTGGTGCCCTGTGGTCGGATGAAACATGTACCTCCGCAGCAAAGCAAAGGCAGGTATGAAAGAAAAAGCAGATGTGTCTAAACAACACCAGGGGAAAGTCCTGAGCAGCATTAAATAGCGTATCCTGACCGAGGACCAACCCCAGCGCGGGCACACACAGAGCAGCAGTCGCTCATTTTGGAATTCACTGGGACTTTCACCCGTTTATTCCAAGGCTACCGGGGCCCCTCCGCGGTGTCGTGGGTGCCTGCCTTGGCTCAGGGCACGCTGGCCGGCAAAAGGCCCACGTGCATCACAGCCGCCTCTCATGGTTGTTACTCCGTCCCATATCTGCAAAATCTCCTCAGTGACACCCGCTGCCCCCTCTCCGGGAGCCTTTCCTCCCGCGTTCCCGGCACAGCAGCATTCCCGGCACAGCAGCATTCCCGCAGCTGCAGAGCTGGAGCAGGTACAGCCCTTTTCCGACTGACGCTCCGCCACGGGGCTCACAGCGGCGTTCTGACCCCGCGCTCTGCACGTACAGGTTTACAGCCAGACCTGACCCTGTGCTTTCAGCTACCGCAGTATAAACTCCGAAGAGCCGCTCGGTATACTCTAACACGTTCAGTTTATACTGGTGTAACTGAGAAAATGTCATCTTCCTCCCCTCCCCCCCCCAAAAACACAAGATAAGAGACCTTCAAGCTGCCCGTTTCCAAGACAAAACAGGGAGCGTGCCCAACTTTTGTTCCATGCCCCACGGCTGATAAGCGATGCCAAAACAAAGTTACTTTTATTAATACCAAAAAAATGTCTTTAAAAATGCTATATGAAGTGTTACTATTTCGTGTTAATACTCTTTTTTAATAGAAGGAAAACTTTGCCCTCAAGTTTTTATCGCAACAAGAATTATTTTTTTTTTTTTTTTTTAGTTCTTTTACAGCAATTTCAACTCTTCTTGAAATACATATTTGAATTCCTGAAATCAGTTTGAATGTAGAAGTCATGGAAGTACCACTTCATTAAACCAAGTAAAACCACTGTATGTATGTAGCAGGGATAAATGTTTTGCAGCTGTACTTTCATTTGTCCAATGATTATCCATCATTTGTTGTAATTTTTTTACTTCATTGAGTTTGTATTTTTTGGCTTTTATGTTCAAAATATGTTTATAGCTTTATAAATAAAGTGATTGCCAGACTGGCTATTCAAAATAGGCCACTGGAAGTTATAATCCTATCAAACTGTCAAATAACTATTTCTTAGAATTCAAGAGGATTCCCGCTTCCCCCCCCCCATGGCATTTGTATGCATGAATTTTTTAGAATAATTACCAGTAGTCTTTAATGGGTAAGACTGAAATAGTAAACCAAGACTAAGAAAAAAACACCTTCTCCAATCACTACTGACGCCTTGCCTTCCCTCTCCCTACCCCCACACCTGATCGCTTCAGCCCAGAAGAACTAACCCTGACCATGCCACGACTTGAAAAAAAAATAAAGGTTAAGGCAGCACTATACAAGTTAAACAGCAACATAAAGTTTAACAGTGGGAAACTGGAAGGTTTCTCCCTCTTTCAAGAATTCTTAAGTACACCGCTGGTGTCTGTTACAGCAGCCGGTAACTATCGGGTTCAGCTGAAGAAGAGACTGCGCGCAGCAGCCGCGCGGTACACCAGGCTGTCCCAGCACCTTCCTGAAGAGGGTTGTGCTCTACAGCCTAGCACTGATACTGTTAGAGCGGGTAAGTGAGAGGGTGTACCTCCAGAGATTTAAAAAAAGTAGTGTTTTTTCATACCAATGTGTCACACACAGAATCCCAGAGTGGTGGGGGTGGGAAGGGCCCTCTGGAGCTCCCCCATCCCACCCCCCGCCAGAGCAGGGGCACCTCCAGCAGTGGCACAGGGCGGCGTCCAGGCGGGTTTGGGATGGCTCCAGAGGGGGAGACTCCCCCACCTCTCTGGGCAGCCTGTGCCACTGCTCTGCC